CCGGCCCCCTCAACCTTCACCTCCCCCCCCCCCCGGGGGCCCCTCCCCCCCCCCCCGGGGGCCCCTCCCCCCCCCCGGGTGATTCTCTGCCAGCCCCCACTACACCTCTTCCCTCACTAAGCCTTCGGTCTTGCCAACTAGAACAGGAAGGTGGAATGATTTTGCTTCGGAAAGATTTCACATCCTGCTGAATAAGAGCAAACAAAGATATTGCTGAGTCTGTGTTTAGTTAAGCCAAGGAAGTAATAATGGCCACAAAGTAATGGAAATACTATTTCTTCTGGATAAGTCAGACCTCAGACAGTGCCCTCAAGTCACTGAGAAGCGGCTGTGTTTCCAGTCACTGAGCTCTCCCCTCTCTCCCTGTGTGCAGGTCCCACGCGACCTGCAGTCTGATGCCCGAGCAACCCCCTGACCACTGGGAATGGAATGAGTCTATGCCCTCCCTCCGGATAAGTGTGGGGAGCCTTCCTGTGCTGGCGTCCATGACCAAGGCTGCGGATCCCCGCTTCCGCCCCCGCTGGAGAGTGATCCTGCCATCCTTTGTGGGTGCCGCTGTCCTCTGGCTGCTCTACGCCCACCGCCCGTCCCCAGGCAGGCCGCCCCCCCACGTCGCACACAACTGGAGGCTCGGCCAGGCACCTGCTGATCGGTACAATGACACCTACCCTCTCTCTCCCCCCCAGAGGACGCCGGGGGGGATCCGGTACCGAATTGCAGTCATCGCCGACCTGGACACGGAGTCAAGGGCCCAAGCAGAAAACACCTGGTTCAGTTACCTGAAGAAGGGCTACCTGACCCTGTCAGACAGTGGGGACAAGGTGGCGGTGGAGTGGGACAGAGACCACAGGGTCCTGGAATCCCACCTGGCCGAAAAGGGGAGGGGCATGGAGCTCTCCGATCTGATCATCTTCAATGGAAAACTCTACTCTGTGGATGACCGGACAGGGGTCATCTACCAGATCAACGGCACCAAGGCTGTGCCCTGGGTGATACTGTCCGATGGCGACGGAACTGTGGAGAAAGGTGAGGCCAACTGGTCTCATCTCCTGAGGCTTTGCTGAGGTGCAAGGGGTGTTGGGGGAGGCTCTGAGGGAAAGTAATACATGTGCCTGGTAAAGAGCTCACACACAGAAGGCAGGGACATGGGATGGGAGAGTCTCCCCTCTTTTCTGACAGTCGGTTCCCCCAGAGCCGTGAGCAAAAGCCATGGGTTACTTCACACCAAACTCATTCCAGAAGTATGAGCTTATCCCCCGAGGCCTGCCAGGGCGTGGGGGATTCTGGCCAGGACAGGGCTCAGGGCACGCCCACTGCGGCTCTTGCTGCCTCCGGGAACACGTCCCTTCTCATGTCTTCAAAGGTGTGTTAAGACCATGCTGAGATTATTTCTACCCAGGGCCTCACCTTGGAAGCCATGGTGTCAGATGGCTCTCATTTTGAACCAAGACTTTGATTTCAGTTTATTGAAAGGTAGACTTCTGCTGCCCAGACCTCCTGTCTCTGAAAACCCCTGAGAAGGAAGTTCTGGTATGAGCGCAGTGACCCCACTTGGGTGGACTCTGGCATCAGCCCTGTTTACCAGGAGGGAGTTACTGCTTGCACAGGGCAGGGCACAGGGTGGCAAGACCAAACCAAAGTGGCCCAGAGCCTTCCCACAGAGGAGGTGGCAGGGGAGGAGGGAACGATGCTGGCAGAAGAATTGACAAACGATTCCATGTGTGCCCGCACTCTCACGGTGGATCCGCACCTTCTAGAAAGCCAAACACCACTGCAGGCTTCCTGGGGTCTCAGGAGGACTTGCATTAGTAACTGGGCCTGCGCGGCACATGGTCATACTGCAGGGTGCTCTCACTGTTTAAACGTTTCTAGCACTGGAGCATAATCCTGAGGTTGGGGGTGACAGCTGGATGTACGGGGAGTTTGGGGATCAGAGATCTCCGAGAGCAGCTGGCGGGGCCCATGGGAGTCATGGGGAGGGCAGAACAGCAGCTCTGGGGGGCTAAGTCAATCATAGGGGACGTCCCAACAGAGTTCCCAGACCGAGCTGCCAAGGGACAGTATAATCTTCCCTGGAGGGCAGGAGAGTGAGAAGGAAGCACAAGAGGAGGGAGGGTAGGCGCCCACCTGCCTGGGACCCCTGAAGTGGACTCTGCACAGGCTATTCCGTCCCCTGCCCTCGTGTCGCTGCTGGGGCTGGCATGGTCTCAGGCGGTCCCTCCTCTCGTTGCCCCAGGCTTCAAAGCCGAGTGGCTGGCTGTGAAGGACGAGCATCTGTACGTGGGCGGCCTGGGCAAGGAGTGGACCACCACCACAGGGGAGGTGGTGAACGAGAACCCCGAGTGGGTGAAGGTGGTGGGCCACAGAGGCAGCGTGGACCACGAGAACTGGGTGTCCAGCTACAACGCCCTGAGAGCCGCAGCTGGGATCCGACCGCCAGGTGAGAGGCCGGCGACTGTGCCCACGGCCGGCCGCGTCCGCAGAGCCTGTCGCTGGGGGTGCGCTTCCTGTGTGTTGGCTTCTGAGGCACTGCGCCTTGTCTCACGCCTGATTTTAATGACTTTGGCTGTCTCTGATTCTGATGGTCACTCCCCTCAGGCCAGCGGGTTCTGGGGCAAATGAGCCGTTTTCTCTTGCGTCCCTCACTCGCCAAGGCCACAGCCCCTTCGCTTGCACAGGAGCTGGCCCTGGCTTGTGTGAGAGGAGGGCGGGCAGTGCTTTCACCTTAGCTCATCGTTTTCAGAGAGTCTCGTTGTGGTCTGTAGTGGGGGGTCTGGATGCCTAGGGCGGCCTGATCAGCCCGAGGTCTAGGAACTCAGTCCCCAGAAGCTCCCTGTTGCTGTCCTGAGATGGGGAAGAGCCACGCTTCCTTTCAGTGCAGCACTGCCTCCCCGCCCCAACTGAGCTTTTCCACAAGTCACACTTTCTGGGTTTTCCCTTTCCTTGGGCTCTTTCTCCTGTTACCTGCCCCTTGATTTGCACCCAGAAGCAAGAGCGAAGCTAGACCTCCTGCCAGGCTTATTGGCAGCCACAGGAAAGCCAGCAGGGGAGATGGGGGGCCCCGCCATCTGTGTCATGCTTGCCTGGGCTCTGTGACTCTGGAAAATCGAGGACAAGCACAGATTGACATCCCTCCAGGAAATGTGGAGAGCTGGGGAAGAGGCAGACTCTGAGGCCTCTACTGGGACACCCTCGGGTTTGCAGCACCCGGCACAGCGTTGTCCCCGAGTCCCTGTTTGCTGGCACTTTGGGGAGGAGGCTGGGCCCTGGAGAGGAATATGTGTCTGGTGACCGGTGGGTTGTCCTGTGTCCCCAGGCTACCTCATTCACGAATCTGCCTGCTGGAGCGACACGCTGCAGCGCTGGTTCTTCCTGCCTCGCCGCGCCAGCCACGCACGCTACAGCGAGAAGGAGGACGAGCGTAAGGGCACCAACCTCCTGCTGAGCGCGGCCCCAGACTTCAGCGACATCTCCGTCAGCCACGTCGGGGAGGTGGTCCCCACGCACGGCTTCTCATCTTTCAAGTTCATCCCCAACACTGACGACCAGATCATCGTGGCCCTCAAGTCTGAAGAGGACAGCGGCAAAATCGCCACCTACATCATGGCCTTCACGCTCGACGGGCGCTTCCTGCTGCCCGAGACCAGGATCGGAGGTGTGAAATATGAAGGAATAGAGTTTATTTAAATTTTAAAAATTAAGATGTTGAGCAAGTCTGAGGAGTGGACAGTTTTAAGCCACATCGGGACTCAAATTTTATAAAAACCAGAGGACTGCACTTGTGTTTGGTTTGTTCTTTTCAGAACTATGAGGTGTGTGTCTGGTTTAGAGCTCTCAACACAGGGGGTCCAGCCCTGGTGTGGGAGCAGCCAGTGCAGTCCGAGGATCTGAACAGCAGCGCTGCCATCTGGTGGCCACAGTCGGTCGCTGCAGGTCTTCATCTGGGGCCCATCCGTTTGCATTCCACCCTGCCTGTCCTCCATCCGACTCCCTTTCCTGTCTTTCCGTTTCTTTTGTTCAATAAATACTTCTGGCACTGTCACTGTGTGCTACCACGCTGTGCCCCACCCTGGGAACACAACAGTGTGTGTGAGAGGGCACCTGCCTGTCACCCTCCCCCTTTGCCTCCTACATTGTGAGCCCCAGGCACCATACCCGTCCCTCGCGGTGCTGGCAAAAGACGACGTTTACACTGCAGGACCTGACACCCAGTGGTCTGAGAGCAAGGCAGACCCCTGGGAACCTGTGCAGGGAAAGGCGTTGCTCATCGGCTCATTCCCAAGCCTCGCAAAAGACGACGTTTACACTGCAGGACCTGACACCCAGTGGTCTGAGAGCAAGGCAGACCCTTGGGAACCTGTGCAGGGAAAGGCGTTGCTCATCGGCTCATTCCCAAGCCTCCCATAAGACGATCTGCACCTCGTAGGGCCATGACTCCGTCTCCTCCCTTCAGGAAGATTCTGTGGCTCTGTAGCACTTGGCAGTGTTAATTATTAACTTATTTTAATTAAAGCAATTTCCTTTCTTATAAAACGGAATCACCAAATCTTATCACACAGAGCAGAGTCCTGTAGTTAACAGTAGTTTCCCAGCAGGGGAGGAATGTGTGGTTAAGCAGTTACGATGGGTAAGCAGTTTATGAACTTTTCTGAGTCCTTGGCCAGCAACAGATGAGGAAAACGTCAGAAATTGCCATGCCTCTTACGGCTCTCATGAATGACTTGAATTTTTTACTCCCTGACTCGGGAGTGGGACCCTGGGTTCTGGCCTGCCTGCAGGTGACCCTTGACCCAGGGGCTGCTTTCTTCTGGAGACTGTCGGTGAATGAGACCTCTCGTTTCCTGGGGGCTTCTTTCTGTGGCCTTTATTTCTCCTCTGCCCCAGGAGTTTTGCAACCTCTCTTCTGTGGGAACTCTTCATGCAAGTTTGGTCTTGTAGTTGGTCCCTGTTGTCTCTTCTCCATACAGCGCTGTGGGTAAATGCAGAGTGGCACTGGGGACAGAAGTCAGCTACCGTGCTCCTCCCCGCAGGAGCTGCCTCACCCCACGACATCCCTCAGGAGAGTGCTGAGGCCCCGCAATGGTCGGGTGGTCAGGAAGGACGGTCAGGCCCTGACTGTCCTGCGATGGCAGCTAACAGACCACTTCCACCCTGAAGCTCTATCACGGTTGCTGGGAGGGAAGCCAGGAAGGGTGCCTCTCCATGCTAGATGTCTGTCTCTCCCACCGTAAAGCAAGTAGCAGAAGTGGTGAAGACCAGTTACTGAATGTGACACGTTTCTCTAGAACTCAGCTGTCACTGGGCATAGCCGGGAAGACCCTCATCTTTTCTAACCTTGCCTGGTTGTGTGCTCTGACCCACCTCCTTGGTAAATGTCCATGATGTTAGGGCTGTGTTATTTTTAAAATACAGATGAAATTAGGAAGGTTGGAGGACAGTCACTAAATTGAGACCTTGCTGATGAGTTAATGTCAGCGCCTGAGCCACAGCCTGGTTGCCTAGAAGCAGCGTGACCTTTTTTCTTTTCTTCCAGATTCCCCACTGTCAACATGACAATTGTGTCCCTTCCGTGCTGGGTCCATTTGTTTTGTAAACAATAAATTGTCACAGGGGGATGTGAGTTGTCTCTTGTCTCCTGGTCTATGTTGGCTGATTGTGAAGGACACCGCCTTAGGGAATACAGGAGAGACGTGATCTTGATATAGAACAAACTGATATGCAAAGGGTCTTTAAAAATTACCCAATGCAGAGTGAGAGCTCAGTTACCCGTTTTGTGGCTGCCAGTCCCAGTGGAGACATCTGGAAGATTTGGGAACAAGGTAGCGCTCGGGCCGGAGGTGTCGTTGATGGGTCTGATGAATCTGCAGGACCGAGGGGGTCTCCAAAGGACATGTGGAAGTCCTACCGCTGAAACTTGGGGCATGCCAGAAAGGAAGACACCAGGCAAGAGAGGCCTCACTGGAGACAGGAAGGGGGTGGTCAGAGACGGGGGAGAAAGCCAGAGAGAGGGTGGTGTCTCAAAAGCCAGTGTGCCAATGTCGACCTTGTCCCTTCGACCTCACTTCCCGTGGCTGACCTGAGTGAACCACATCCACTCCCCACAGGTTATCCCATGGGGAGTTCCAGCAGATGGCTACAAGTCGTCCCTGAGCCCTGTCCATCGCCTGTCCAGGCAGCTCCCTCTCGGCCACTCTCTGTCTGGGTTCCAGTAACTCTCCCTCCCTGGTAGCTCCAGATAACACACTGCCCTTGTCCTGTCCCTTGCTCCTGCTCTCCCACCCTTGTAACCAGTCCCTTTACTAAAGCCTGAGATGCTCCTAATTTGGGGTACCGCCTGTGCCTTGCTGGGAACCTGCCCAGTGCAGCCAGGGATGAGAGCTCTCAAGAAGAACATCACAAGTAGGACGAGTTCTGGAGACTGTGAGCAACAGGAAGGACGTGGCGTCCTTGACAAGGACCTGTGTGCGAACACTTCATGAAGCCAGAGCTCATCAGGCCGAGGCATGGCAGGGGATGAGAAACTGCAAACCGAGGACAGAGGGACTGAAAGTAAGCTCTTGACCCTCCCTGAAGAAGCCACAACGCGCTGGACTCCGAGGCAGGAACTCGTGTGTCCAGTGTGCAGTTCATCTGCAAAAAGAACTCCCCAAAGTCACCTTGGAACTGGGTTCGGATCCCTGTACTGGCCAGCTGCCAAAAAAAAAAAAAAAAGTAAATGTTAAGGTCAATTATACCTTAATAAAATTGTTAAAAGATTTATTTATTTTTATTTATTTATTTATTTTTTTAAAAGATGACCGGTAAGGGGATCTTAACCCTTGACTTGGTGTTGTCAGCACCACGCCCAGCCAGTGAGCGAACCGGCCATCCCTATATGGGATCCGAACCCGGGGCCTTGGTGTTATCAGCACCGCACTCTCCCGAGTGAGCCACCAGGCCGGCCCAATGTTAAAAGATTTAAATAAAGCAAAAATAAAATACTTTCACACAAAGAAAATTCCAGGCCCAGCTGGATTTACTAGTGAATTGTACCAAACACTGAAGGGAGAAATAATAATCTTCCATGATTTGGGGAGTTGGGAACACTTCTCAAATCATCTTATGAGAGACCAGAGCCCTGATACCAAAAGCAGACAAATATATTATAAAAAATGAAAATATAGACCAGTCACTCTCATGAACATAGATGTAAAAATCCTTAGCAAAAATTAGCAAGTTGAATCCAGCAATAATTAAAAATGAACATACTTCATGATGAAGTGTGGTTTATGCAAAAGAATGCAAAGTTAGTTTAATACTCTAAAATCAATGGATGAAATCCACCATATTAACAGACTAAAAAGGAAAACACATGATAACCTCAAAAGTTACGGAAAAAGCATTTGACAGAATCCAACACCCATTCACCCAGTACAATAGCCAAAACAAAAAACAAACCATAAGGAAAAAACAAAATCTCTTAGCAAACTAGGAATAAAAGGAAGTTTCTTAACCTGATAAACGGCATCTGTGCAAAACCTACAGCTAACCTCGTACTTCAAAGACTGGCTGTTTTCCCCCTAAGGAGCAAGGCAAGAATGTCTGCTTTCCTCAGCTTTTTCTCCCTACCGCTTTTTATTTTTAAATAATTTTAAACCACAAAGAAGTTGCAAAAATACTGGAGGGTTCCTGTGCAGACTTCACACACTTGCCTCCGTGGTAACATCATATGTCAGTGTCGCGCATTTATCAGTAACGTCACATGCTGGTGTGGCGCGTCTATCAATAACATCGCACGCTGGTGTGGCGCGTCTATCAAACCCCGGACCGTGGCGCTGCCCTCCTTGCTTTTACCCCCATCCTATCGGTCAGTTAGGCAAGAAAAAGAAAAGCCATCAGATTGAAAAAGAAGGACTAAAACTGTCTTTATTTGCCAATGATGAGATGGAAAAGCCTCAGACATCTTCAAAATACAAAATACAACAACTAGAACTAATGGCTGTTTAGCAAAATTGCAGAGATCCACATACAAGAGATTGACAGTGAACAATTAGAAATTGACATTTTTAAATACAGTGTCACTCACAATAATACCAAAAACCATGAAATAGCTCGATATAAACCTAACAAAATATGTGCAAGATCTGTATGTGGAAATTACAAAATACTGATGAAAGAAATCAGAAAAGACCCAAGGAAATGAAGCAGTGCACTGTCTTCATGGATCAGAGGACTCAGTTTTGAAAAAGAAAAACAAAGCTGGAGGATGTACACTATCCGATTTCAAGACTTAATAGAAGGCTGGCTACCAGTAATGAAAACAGTGTGGTACTGGCATAGGAAACATAGGCATAAATCAATGGAACAGGAGCGGGTCCAGGAATAGACCCATATGTATGTGGTCCGTTGACTTGACAAAGGTGCCAGGGTAATTCAGTGGGAAAAAGATGGCCCTTCCACGGTGGCACTGGGACAACTCTGTCAAGTCTGCAGACAGTGACTGCGACCCTCATCTCCCACCACACACAAAATTAACTCGGAAAAGAGTGTAGACCCAACTGTAAGAGCTCCACCTACGAAACTCCCAGAAGACATAGGAGGAAACCTTAGAGACCTTGGGTTAGGCAAAGGTTTAGTAAAGAATAATAAATCGAGCTTCATCCAAATTCAAAACTTTTGCTCCTCAGGAGACGCTGTTCAGAAAAATGAGAAGGCAAGTTTTTCATTCAAAAAATTTTGGGGGGGCCGGCCCAGTGGCGCACTGCTACAGTGCGCCGCTTGGGAGCGCAGTGGCGCTCCCGCCGAGGGTTTGGATCCCACATACAGACCGGTTCCCGCTCACTGGCTGAGCGAGGTGCGGGCACAACACCGAGGGTTGCGATTCCGTTGCCGGTCCCGGTCTGGTACAGGCGCAACACTGAGGGTTGCGATCCGTTGCCGGACACGAAAAAAGACAAAAAAAAAAAAATTTTTTTTGCAAATCATGTATCTGCTAAAGGAACAGAATACATAAAGAACTTATACAACAAACAACCTGATTTACTGATGTGCATAAGATTTGGA